ATTTTAGTTGTTGCTGCTGTTGAAAGTCCCCAAGGGATGCAGTTTCTGTTATTTGGTACAGTTCTTTGTGATTCTGTAGCGCCAGTCCACAATGTTCAAAGAAGGATGGTCTTTGCTAAGAACAACAGACTTCTCTCTCAAAGTTCTTTTAACCATTGATCTGAGAAAATGGTTATATGCAACTGACACTTTAGGTATTTCTAAACGGGTTGCACCTAACATTAAAAATTACCTCATTGTATATGCCGCAACCATGGGTGGGGGATCGACTACCGGTACGAACGCTACTTAGTATAATGAACTTACAAAAACAGTCAACATCTCTATGGTAAACAAGATAAATTAGTAAATACAATCACACTTACATTCAACAAGAAAGGAAGACATCATAGGAAACAAAGAAGTAACAATATTTCACCGAAATTCAAAGAATGCATTATTCCATTCAGCACATTTACAATATTTTGTGGTACTTCACAGTAACTAACCAAGTCATATGTACCTCCAAATTTGTATAAAGAGCTCGGAAATGTTTAACCTTCGTGCACACACAAAAAAAAAAAAATTTATAAAGAAATAAATATGAAACAAAGTTTTACTCATAAATTTATAAACATTCACTAAATTATAAATTATATGAACCAGTTATAAGGAAATCCTTATTATTTTTCATTTTATAAAGTTCGAATCGATTGGCAATTAGCTGATATTTTACCAACCATTCCAATGAACGATTTAAGAAATGAATAGTATAAATAAACAAGCTAACAAATAAATAGTATTTATTATTTTTCTTGTAAATTCTCAAGAACAAAAAAAATACATAAATTCACTTTCATATGTTTAGGGGTTATTAAAATTCTAATAATCGTTTTTAAAACAACCAATTACTAAGGAGTGAAGGAAGTTAAAATAATACAGGTGACAATGGAAAAACGCAATGCCAGAATTACAAGGTTAACAGACATCATCTTCACCAGGAACATTTACAATATCTAATATTCACTTTGGATGCGTGATGCTGTATAACGAATGACGGTTCAGAATGAGAAATCAGAGAGTCGAGTTCGTTACATTCTCTTATGCGCAAATACTCTTGGGAAAGTTATGAATCCATCTCTTCTGCACCCCATCTATGGGTTAAATAGTAGGATGGACTTGATCCTATAGACTTGGTTGGCAATCAGTCTACCACTTCAAAAAACGGTAGCTTACAGCAGGAAATCTGCCTAGTCAGTCGAGAGAGATATGATCGCCTAAGTGTGTATCACGTATAGCATGTAAATGATTGATTGAATATTCATTTTATTAACATACATACAGATATAGTTGGAACTTTACCGCCATCAGAAGGCTTTTTATAGAATTATCGATAGTTTAACATAATGCGATGATCAAATACTGTACCAATCGAAGACATATGTACATAAAGCATAACAGGAGTTATCCTATTAGATTGGATATCAAAATTTGGTGCACTTTTTATCATAACTGACAGGTTCACTCGATTCCAATCAACACTGTTTAAAGAATTCAATCAAATCTTAAAGGTGAAACATTAATAGAACTTCATGTAAAACCGGCCTTGTTGAACGATTTCATAGACAGACAGCACTTGAATTACAACATAATAAAACAGTTTGGAAAAACAAACTACTTCTTATGCGTCTATTAATCAAGAACGCTATCAAAGACATGTAACCCCACTGTCGATCCTAAACATAGGTAACCAATAATGTCACCCAGTCGTCGGTCCTCAAGTTCCTTCAGACCGCCGTGATTACTATTTAGCTAACTCTTCATTCGTTCGCGCGTGATTCATTTTGTCGCTGTTATCATGATGGTGGCACGGTTCCACTCGACAGTTGGCATTTGTCTGTTCACGACCATTCACTCCTTTGCCACGTTGTTTTTAATCTCAGAGGATGAGAAGATTTCTGGTGAAGCAAACTTGAAGTGAAGACGGTTCTACAATTTGGAAGCTACACAAAAACAAGAATCGTTTGGAATAAAGAATTAACTCGGATTAAAAATGTAACAATGATTTGGTTTATATATGATTCATTATATACATCGGTTTTAAACCTTCCCAGTTATTATAATCAAAGGACAATGAGATCCCCTTCGAAGTCTGCAGCTTGTTTTAGAAGTAATTTAAATTTCTAAGTTCTGGTCTTCAGGTCCGGTTCAAGGTCTTGGTCAGGAGGTATAGGTGAACGATGCGGATTCCGGTAGCAGTAGTGTGAGAACTGTGTGAGTATGTGTGTGTATGTGTGTGTCTCTCTCTCCCTTTCTCTCTTTTCCAAAATCTCCAGCTTATATGGATGCGTCTGGTAGGGGTGAGATTGACTTGGGTCTGAGTTCGGTTGTCTTCATCAACCTTTTCTAAATTTCCATATATAAAATACATTTGCTCAAGTGATTTTCCAAATTTGAGGTTACCTAGCCCCCTTTTGAAAGTAGTCAGAGAAATCAAGCCACAACTTAACTCCCACTCTCTTAACATCTCATCTCCCAATATCGCTTCATATAGATGGTGCTAATCTATCTCTCTCCCTTCTCTTTCTTCTTCCTTCTCCCACTTTCTCAGCAAGCAACATCAGCCCGCTTCTTGGGCTGGGGTGACAAATCCAGCCTCCAGATGGCACAGCAAAAACAAAAGGGATTTTAATTAATCCTTATCTATCAACTTTCCCCATGCTGGGATTTCTCGATCAACCAGACCACTCAAGAATTGGAAAAGGAAAGAAAAAACTATTTCCACTCTCCTTAAAACGAAAGTTTATCTTTTCTCTGTCTTATGCTTTTTTTACGATCGAACAGGCCACCCAGCCTTCTTGTCCATGGCCACTTCAAAATAGTAATTAATTTTTCCTTACTACTTGTATCCAATGGAATCCGAATTAATCAAATTTTCTCTGGACGAATGTCACCGAAATTATAGTGACAAACGCGTCCAGTCGGTCTCTATCGAGTGGAGGGTATTTTTTCTGGGTGGCTGATTCAAAACATATAGTTCTCCCCAGCCCATTTTCTCCAAAGGAATCGTGAATGTTATTTATTTCGGCGACCACCCTGGTTCTTTTATCGTCAATATATGTTTTTATTTTATCTGACATCTTCGTGGATACCTTAATGATTTTTTTTCTTATCGGCGAGAAGTGAGGAATAACGGGTAGTCTTGGTTTTGCTCAATCTTACTGAATTCCGTCTAGTTAAATTTGGGTTCGATTCTCCTTGTATTTTTCAACGCATTTTGTTTTTAATTTTCTTATGAACTTTTCAATCCATCTTCCTGCAATTTCAACAGTTATCATCCACTTAGTAGACTCTTTCCTCTTTCTTCTTTCTTTCTTTCTCTCTTTCTTTGATCAACCTCCAGAGATCTCAGTGTCACATATATATTATAACAAAGATAAATTATATTCGAAATGTCTCTCATACTAAACGGACTATTTAAAAAAAATGATACACTTTCAAGGCCATCAACAGCAACTTGAAAAATGTCACAATTAAGATTTCCGACAACAAAACAAGGGAAATGATTTTATTCCACAATAGCAACAGAAGATTACAGATGGTTGGGTATGCATCGTAACGCCTTTCAAATCCATATTTTTAAAACATGGGTTTGAAAGGAAACTCTTCTGTTTTTTTTTTTATTTCGCATTTCTGTAGATTCACAAACCCTAACGAGTAAGCGTTCTTCTCCAGTCGCTCAGTAAATACGATCTTTCTTTTTTCAAAATTTGAACTCGGATTCTGTTGTTGACGAATAGCGTACCTTTACCACAACCAAACTTTTCTTATTTTTATCTTATTCTATGGAATATATATGTCATAATATTTCAACCTGTGTCGGATTTGCATTAGTTCTGTATCATTTTGTTGAAAACATTTTTGATGATATCAATATCGTTTTCATGGAATCGATACCTTCTCGGTAAATATACATACCACTGCACACATTACATACAGCCGAAATTATGTTTTTGTACTAAATGACCGCAACAAAAGCACATTCTGTTCAAATTATAATTGACCATATTACACAAATAAGACACGCTTTATATAGCATTCAAATTCAAAACAGAACAGTTACTTTACTATTATTGTCGATAGACTTAAACCCACTGATATTGAGAAAACAAACAAAAATTGAAGATGAAATAACAACTGAAAGCCAAACCTACTGTTAAATAAACAATATACTCCGTCAAAACCACTCTTTCTTCTTCTGTTCTGTGTTCGTTTAGAACGTGTGTGATCATGGCTCTCCACAACTTCCTATCCTTTGTAGCCCTTAGTAATGTCTTGTTGAAAAAAATAGTCAGTGGGAACACCACAATGAATGAATGAAAAACGTCCTACCTTAACATCTGGTGATGACAGAACAAACAACATTCATACAAGAAGCAATAACAAACGAGACATCGTTATGGTTTTAGAACACGGTAATTAATCTATTTATTCAGCATGGCTCTCCCACAACAACTAAAGAAAAAACGAGAGAAGATTAACAAAAAAGGTCCATGCGCCCTCTACAACTTGAAAAACAAATGTTCAAGGGAAATAACTAATCCCTTATTTATTAATTTATAAGAGTGCAATTTTCAACATGTCTGTCTCTTTACTATCGCCACACTCTCCGTTTTGTCCTCCATTCACATAAGCTACTGTTCCTTTTTCTTTCGATACACCGTATATCAAATTTTGCAAGACCGCCTTCATCATGTATCCTAAAAATTTCAGATTTCTCTTTCTGATTTTAATTATGTGTCTTTTCGTTATCATTTTCTTTTTGCTTACACGCTGTTATTGATATTCTCAGCATACTACTGTGAAACCACATTTCAGTTGCTTCAAGTCTCCTTTTCATGTGTGAGGAAATTAATTGTCCAACATTCACTGCCATATAGGAGGACCGATATTACATAACAGCTCAGAATTCTTTTCTTTCTTTCTAATGAAAGTTTCCCTATTTATTAATACTTTGCGGTTTGCGGCCATATCACGTTGAAACATTGGTTCTCGTACAATCACCGAACTTAAACAACGGCGAGTTAGGTCAGCACTTTGATGGGTGACCGCTTGGGAATAGCAAGCGCTGTAAGCTTGGATATGTAGGTGGCGTATTAGATAATGGCTCAGAATTGTTAATTGGAAAACCGAGTTCCAATTCCAGTTGAGTTCGTTATATTCACTTACGCGCAAATACCCTTGGGAAAGGTATGAATCCACCTCTTCTCTCCCCAACAATAAGTTAATTGGTAAGACTTGCATCACTAAATTATTACTATCTCAAAAAAAAATTCTTACAATCTAAAAATATTTTCTGTTCTTTAAATAACCTGCAAAGCGTTGGTAAACAGTAGAAAACGACTCAATCAAATCAAATTAATACTTTACTTAGTGTTTGGAAAGTATATTTTGCTATTACAATGCGTTTTCTTATTTCGGTGCCACCTATTCCATCTTCTGCTAAAACACTTTCCAGGTATTTAAACTTCTGTGTTTGATTTTGACATCTCCAATTCACTGTTCGCATCTTGGACTTTTTCTCTTGCTGACAACTACATCTGCCTTCTTACAAGTGATAGTTAGTCTCTTCTTCGCACTTGCCTTTACTACCTCGTCTAGGAGGTCTTGTAGTTTTCCTTCAGCGTCTGCCAACAGCGGAGTGGCAACTGCGTATCGTATATTGATAACATTGTATCCATCGATACTAAATCCTAGTAGGGTCTCTATCCCCTACACACATGAAAACCAATACAACTATCTCAGGGCAGTCAATATACTTATCGAGACATTACGAAAAAAAACAAACAAACAGATTACTAACAACCAACAAATGATTCTCCTGCAATATGTCATGTGAATGTTAAAAAATTAATCTTTCTTTCTTCATTTATGTGTACCACAATTTTCAGCTGTCTGTTTCTGTTAACAACAGTTGGTTTGCAATTCCTATTCTCCCTTAAATTTCCACGCTGGTTACATGTCTTGTCCATGGTATTGTAACGATCATCATCGCTATTACAATCACACATACATACATACATACAGATCATACGGCAAGCATTCATTGGCTAATCTCCTCAAAACTAGCTTGCTGATTGGTCAATTCCGACCAATCGAATCGCCGGCACGCGAGGAACAATTTTCCCGCGAACAAGCTTTGGAGCCTATCACGTGTGACACAGCCTTATATAAACAAAACACGAATAAGCTTCCCTCGTGTTTTCTCTTCATTAATCTTTCTCCTTGCTGCCAAGATGTAATCTTCAAGAGCTTCCGTCTTAACCGTGCGGTCAGACGTTAAAGAACATTGCCAACAACTTTTACCGACTTTCTTGCAAGTCGTCAGTACAGTCCAGCTATTACGCCTGTCTACACAAATCTACGACTTTACTCACAATGCACACATAGACACAGATTTTTGTATCACATTACACATTCTTCCTCTCTGTGACTATGCCAAGTTCATGAATCAGAACTCTCTTACTTACTCAAAACAACACACTTCTTAATTAACTGTATTCTATTCTAAGACCAGACTCTATTCAACATAGAATCCTGAATATTCTTATTCAAGAGAAATTCTTTTGAACATTCAATCTTAATCAGAATACAGTTACGACACACCATTGCATGATTGTTTTGTATGTCATTGTTCTAATATATATTTTATTGTCATTGTTCTAATATATATTTTATTGTTGATGCACAATTGGAGTTTCGGTGTTTTTTTTCTTGAATCATTAAATGTATAATAGATAAATGCTCTTAGAACACGCAATTACATTTGATAACCTCAACGCATAAACCAAGCAGCATTTACAGTATTCTTAGGATTTGCCAGTAAGAGTACATCTCTGTCACTTTAAGTTTTTTCTTCATTTGCGAAGAAATTATCCTGTATTTACTGTTATATCCTAGATTAGATATTACATAGCAGTTCAGCGCCGCTACATTACCTTTACAAAATTAATAAACATCGAAATATGATCGATTATACATCTTCCGAAAAATAAACTGACAAGCGTTAAAGACATCTTTGTTTTCATAATTTGCTAGATGTTTAATTAATAACTTCAAAAAAAAAAAAAAAGAGAAAAAATAGATATATAGACAAATTAGAAATTTATTTAAAACAACAGTATCCTACAAACGATAAGTTTGTTCCCTTCTTTTGTGAAAATATTAATTTTTCACCTCCCTCCTGATCTATTTCTGATGCCTTTTTCAGGTTTGTTTATTCGTTTTTATCTTTATTTGTATTGATTTACCAATGTTGCTTGTTCGTGCGCTACTTCGTTTGTTTTTTCCCCCATAGCCCCATAAATTATTTTTGTCGTTCATGTTATAAGAAAAAATTAATAATAATTTTACCAACGATTTTCTCTGACAAAGGGTTGGCCAAAAACGGTTCCTCAAATATTGCCCCCACTTATTTTTCTAAGATGTTGACATCTATCCTATTTAAAGCAATAATATGATTTTGCGGTATCAAACCTTTGTTAATATATATATATATATATATATATATATATATATATATATATATATATATATATATATATCAACATACCAAACGCTCCTTGATTTATTTTTAAAAATATATTACAAATTCCTGTTGGAACAGCCACAGGCCAGACTGACCTGAACTTTTTAAAGAGTGGTCATAAAAAGAAAAAAATAGTTCGGCAGAAGGTTCTCGTAAAGTACCTTTTTAGCCGTTGTATAGCCACTCCAGAAATCGGAAACAAACAAGGAGTGTCCAGTAAGCTAAGCAGTTTTCGCGGGGTTATTTCTTATCAACAGGCGGATGCAGATCCGGTTTTGCTTTGCAAAGAAGCCAGACGACATTTGGAATTATCCGCTCTAGTATCCATTCAGGTGAGATATCAATATTTTCATTAAATCTATTTCAAAGGTGATTCATCAAGTCTCTTTTAAATTTTTCGCTTTCTTTCTTCAATCTTATTTTGTGGATATATAGTGTTTGTGTGTCTGTGTGTGTGCGTGTGTGTTTCAAATTCATATAGTGTTGTCATATCTCGAAGGAATTAACAGATTTTTTTCAATGTAGTTAAAACAAGCGTAAAAAATTAAATTTTACTTATAAAACTATAAATCAGGAAAGTGTCCCATTTTTAATATATTTCAGGAAAGTGTCCAATTTTTCACAACTTCTGAGATAAAAGATTAAATAATGACAGATTTGTTTATTTGATTTTGTTTGCTGAAGTACAGAGTCTCTGAGAGGAATTTTCTCAAGCGATACAAAATTACCTTCGCCACCCCATCTTCCATTTTGTTATGCTGTTTTTATCTTTTTTTTTTTTTTTTTTTCCTATACTGCTTTTTGTTTTATCCAGTCAAAACAATCAAACACTGATTTTTAGCTGAGGGCTCTTCAGCGTGAGGTAGTGCTTAACGAGCTAGTTTAACTGGGCTACTAAGTCATGATTTATATACTAACTGGGTGTGCCAAACCAAACTTGAGGCCTTGTGCCCACCTAAGCTATGTTAATATGACATTGCTTCTAGAATTGCTATGAGGCATCGTTAAAAAGTTGTCTTTTTTGGGGGGGGAGGGGTAATGGGATTTTTTAAATTAATGTGCTAAAAGTATACTCTGGTTTTTTTATTGTTTTGTTTTATATGGCTTATAACCTTTGCAGGTTATTTAAAACCAGAAATGTTTTTCGATTGTAAGAAATTTTTTTGCAGTGTTGGTGGGTGATAACAATGATTCGGTGATACCAGTCTTACTAATTAACCCTTAACTGGTCGGGGGGAGAAGAGGCGGATTTATACATTTCCCAATGGTATTTACGCGTAAATAAATATAACGAACCCAACTTGTGTTGGAACTCAACTCTCCGATTAACAATTTCGAACCATTATCCATTACACCAGCTGCACATCCAAGCTTACACCACCTGGAATACGCTTTCCCATTCGTAAGCGTAGGAAATCTGATGGCTTTTCTTTAGCCGTCTTTGAGTTATGAGATAACAGACAGACTGACAAAAAAGTAATTTGGTATGTCGGCTCATCCAAAATGTGATGCTTGTTTTCCATAAACGCCCACATTTTCTGAGATCACAAGAAATTCCCATTGGCTTCCAGATTAATTTTGAACTCGGGGTTAGGATACGACGTAATCCCTACACCTCTCCCTGAACGTTGAGCCTGGTCAGTACCTAGACGGATGCCTTGGGAATAACAGGTGCTGTAAACTTGGATGTGTGGGTGGTTTGATGGATGACGGCTTGGAATGCGAAATCAGAAACCATAGTTCTTGATATTCACTTACCTGCAAATACCTCTTCCCTCTCCCCCCCCCATTACCATATGTTAAATATCAGGATAGACTGGGTTCTGTAGCTTTGGTTGGTAATCAGTCTACCACCAAGTCAATCATGGATCGAAGAAACATGATCGCCGAAATATGCAGTACGCATGGCACCTAAGGCAAGAAGAAACTTATGTTTGTTTCCAAATTCAAAAGGTCAAAATCGTCGGTTTAGTTAAAAACCTGAATCTGAATCTAGACTTTAAGCAGATCTACTGTAGAACTAATCCGTTTCAACGTTTTGTTAGTAATCAAAAAACATAATTATAAAAATTCGAAACGGGGTCCCCAAAATTAAATTTTTTAGAAGTCAAATTTTTATTGCAAAATTATTCAATTATATGCTGACTTGTAAGAAAAAGCAACAAAATAACAGTATTGTTCGCTATCTCTAATAAATAAACACTTACCGCTATTAAAATGATGTCAAAAAGAGGTAAAGAACAATGAACAGCTACTGCTGTTTCTCAGTCCAAACAATGTGCTTGTTTGGTTTGGTTTGGTTTGGTTTGGTGTTACGGCATATCAACCTCAATGGGTTAATTAATGCCGACAAAATTTTTAGTGTTGGTAATATGTTTTTCTTCAAAAATCTATTTCTGGGAATATTTTTCCTTAAAGAAATCGAAAGCTGGTCATATTTTTTCGAAAGAATGTATAACTGTTTGTATTGCTGGTATTTTTTTAAAAATATTGCTGATAATATTTTTTCCTTCAAAAATTATTGCTGGTCATAATTTTTTTTATTAC